ATAATGTTTAATGCTTTTCGTCCGAGAATAAATCGTTTTGTTTCATTTTTAGTTAATACTAAAAGACATGAAATTCCATGGGGGAAAACGACATCGGTCCGTTGAGATACTTTGGAAAATGATTTTTTTCTGAGTGAGGAAAGCTTTTTAACACACGAATTAATTTCTAGTTTCTCCTTTCTCATTCTCTCTTTCTTGCTAATGAGAGGGTTGACTTACAGATCCAAATATCCATAGATCGTACTATTAAAAAAGATTTTCCAGTCCAACATTCTTTAATAGCCTAATATGACTCCGCATTTGCGTTAATACCAAAAGAAAATATTTGTTTGCAAATTAAAGCTATCATTTTTTAATATTTATGCAACGTTGTCGCACTTGGAACACCCGTCCCGTCGTCGTGAAGTTTGTACGCTCATCATCGCGGTCTGTTTTAATTTTGTTCCTTCGTATTTGCTCTACTAATTGCATTTGAAACGAATGGAAAGCAAACTTGCGTTGTTTGTGTAAACTTTGGCTATTGGTGGATATAATTTCAGCTGCCTTGAGTGTTGTACCCATTGCATTCATTGCGTGGTATCGAGAAAATCTCTAGTATAAACAAGGCAAATCCTGAAACTCTATTATTATGGCTTGAAACAAAGGCAGCTTGTGAAGGAAAAATACAGATGTTGACATTGTTGGCTTTATTTACGATGTAAAATTACTTTGATACGTTTCGTACGGGAAACTCGGCTGGAATTTTATTATTATACGCAAAATTTGATTTACCTTATTCAATTTTAAAGAAAGTATACACGGGTAAGTAATTATTGTTGACAAGGGGATGTCGGTATCGTTTATTTGTATTTGGAGTACAAAATTGTTGTTTGTACAACTAATTTTGAAAGTGATACTTTTTTCACGAATTTGCGAATATGTTAAAAAAAGCAACTTTCAAAAGGAGTATTTCTTTTTTGACATTTCGCGATTTTGCTGTCACTCACAAAGAGAAAAACACTAGTAGGCAAGGAGACGTATTTACCGTTTAATAAAATCGTTAAAAAAATAAAAACAGTGAAACCAGTTAGTGAAAAAAAAAGATACTTTCCATACAATTTTTTGAGAAAAAAAGTCCGGTAATTTGATCACTATGTAAAAAACAATATTTGTTACAATTTATTTATATTCGGGACGTTATTTTGTATCTACTAAAATTTTAGGAGTGACCGTCACATATAAGGTTTGTAATGATTGTAGAACGACCCGTGTTGGTTAGGCTTAAAATTAGTTCAAAAGTAGTAAAATATCACATTTTCTTTTTTTTTAATATGAGTGTTAAATGTGTGATGGCGTTCTGAAATTTTAAAAGCACATAGGATCCATTTAGACAGTCATCATTTTTTTTAACTTCATAGAGTAATAAAATTTTAGTGCATATAAAAACATTTTGAGTATACCTACGTGTGATGTGAAAGTTTGGACCATAACGTGTTTGTCGAATATTTTAATTTCAAGTTAAATTGACGACAGCAAAAATTAGTCGAAGGTTATTTACACATAAGTTGCTTGGCCCCTGAAGTGCAGCACAACATTTTTTTTTTTTAATGGTAAGATTTGATGTGGGCAATTTTGTTTTTTAATCATAACTAATCCCTGTAAGTTAAAATAAAGATGTGTAATGTTAAAGTATGGGTAAAGAAGTATGCCATCCGTATGTTCCTAGAAAATTTTTCCATTACAAAATTTTGTGATGCTGACATCAGTATTTTAGCAAGAACACATTACTTTGGATAGTTGCAGCGTCATGCTAATTAACAAGTACTCTATACTCAAACTTTCGAGAAAACGGAGTGATTTGTTCATAATTTGATCAATAAAGTAAACTACCCCATTCATTAATTTTTTTGAGTGTTATAGAAGTGACTAACAAAATATGAATGAATGATAAACCGTGAGTACAGATTCATTTTAGACAAATTTTTTCGTCATCAATTTGGAGGTAGGGGGCATAAACGAATATATTTTGAAGAGCTAATTTACTATATTTGAAATAACCTTAAAACATTTGCAAGCTTTCACAGCATTCGGTTTTGCAGTTTCAAAATTAATTTCTAAAATGTTTTCTTGAAAAGTCCGGTTTTGGCGATGAAAACGTAAACACGTGCCGTAGTTATATTTTTATTTGTTTAATAAAAATCAACGTAGACACCAAACGAGAGACAGACGACAAACGGATCGAAAGGCGGTACACACTTTTTTGTACTCTAGGTCTCATGAAACGTCGAAAAAACATGAAAGTAGCTGGGATAGATCGTATTACAATACTTCTTTAGTTTACGCTCGGAAAATAAAAGCAATTTTAGATGTAAATGAAACAATATTGAAAATATTGATTTGTATAATATTTTTTAGAATGACATTTTTAATGATTTTTTTTTAACAAAACAACTTATTGAGTCGACTAATAATATCTACTAGGTAGTTATAGTTTCTACCTTTTTGTAGATCAAAAGATCATTTTCGGTGGGCTATTTTCTAACTAGTATTTACATATTAAGCAAAACAGATTTATTAAAACTTTGTCCATTATTTTCTCCCAAAAATGTGTGTAGTAAAATGTTGGTAATTAATTACGTTACACATTCCACAGGCACGTACACCACCAGACAAAAATCCTATTTATTAAAAAGCTAAACATTAACGACTATTACTTTTGTTTTTAGAGAACGTCGGGTAAAAGTGTGTCTGGGCGTTGACACTCTCGAGACTAGTAGCGAGGAATTGAGTTGAAAGTGTTGTTGAAATGAAATGTCTCCCCTGAATTGAAGTTTATGAGATATGGGAAAAGTTTTTATGTGCGTATATTATAAATTTCTAGAATTTCGATGCTTGATTGAATATAGTTCAGATCATAAGCGTCGACTTATAAACATTTATTTGGGGATTTTCTTGAATTTGATTAAATGAAGTATTTTTGCATCCTCCATCAAAACAAAAGCTGATTAGAAATATTTATGCTTCTGATGTTAAGTCAGAATTGTCAGATTAAACTGCCGTGGGGGTCAAAATAAAAGTTTAATAATAAAAATGAGACAGACATTTACTACACAATCAGTACAAAATAAAGAACTAATAATAGTCGTCTCACTTGACTTTTTTGACCGTCATCTAGTGTTGTGATTTTTAAATTGTAACCGTGACGTTTGTTTGCTTGTCATAACTAATCAAGAATATTTAGATGGCAGCAAATATTATTATAATTATAGAATTGTTGATTGTGGTACGAAATATAAGGAATATGAAAACGGACGAAAAACTCTTCACTTCTTTAAACAGGAATATTAATTATAATTGTATTATTTAAAAAAAATATATTTACGCGAAAATCTCTTTTTAGAATGCCTCCATTTCAGATCCAAAATGACTATTGTGACAACCTAAGTGGGAGATTGTGAGGACTCAACATGTTCTTCTTATAGTTTTACTCTGCACACAATCAACTATCAAGTTTTTATACATGCTCAATATAAGCACGCCTCCAGCACCAACGATTCCTCTAAAATATAAAGATACTATATTTTAATTCGAATAAAGTGGGGCGGTTTTCAATTAGTGTTATGACAAGTGCTGATTTTTATGAAACTGTTGCGATTCATGAATAATTACCTTTACGACTACGATAATTTATTAAGCGTTACTGGGATGATGATATAATTCTACTTCATTAAAAACTAATACTCCTATTAAATATGTTATAAAGGTGTATGGGACTGAAGTGGTCGTGGTTGCAGAAATATTTGTAATATTCTGACACTTTAGGACTTTATAATAACTTTAAAGTGAACTTAGAAAACTTTGATAATAGAACGAAGCATCCGGTGTCTACAAAGAAACACGAAAAGTGCCTACATAAAATATTTCTGGTCAAATTTTTTAAGAAGTTAGTTATTACTAGTTACAGTGCTTTTTCCCATTAACAATTCATTTCAATAGTGCCGATAAACGTAACTTATTAAGTTATAATTAAAATATAAAAATCCAATAAAGTGTTAATGACGGTAACTAAAAAAAAATCAGAAATTTTGTCACTAGCCCACGTTTACATGGATCTGAAAATAGCGGAGGGAAGTTTTGTGTAGATAACTTCACAGAACTTTTGAACTAAAGACAGATACACGACCCATTTTTTCGTACTTTAGGGGTCATGATCCATCGAGAAAATATGAAAGCAACCAGTCGCCTAGTAGACTCGATTACAATACTTCCTTAGCTTACGCTTGGGAAGTAATAATAAATTATTACAAAATTCAAAAATCGATGCTTCAGTTTTTTCAAACAAAAGTTCCTAAACTTTATCACTGCATCTTATTCTGCTCTTTGACCTCTTTCTTTTTTGTTAAGTAGATCTCTATATTTAAAGTTGTTAGTTATTTCGATCTCTTACTTTTTTTAAAAGACCCGCCGACAAATTGAAAGAAAGAGAAAAAATAGAGTAACATGTATTATTAATAAAATATATGGTGTACTTAAAAATACTGAAATACTCTGTATATTAAAATTTGATTACATTGACACCACAACAAAGCGAGTACGTAAAATCTTAAAATAACAATATTGCTATTTTTTGTGAACTCTTACGAAACTAAATAAATGGAATAATGTGGCAACGTCGCAAAGGAATTTAACAAATAAACTGTAGTTATAAAACCTAGGGAGATACTAATGATAATATGTAAAACTATATACACTGTTCTATTTATAAATTGTGTACTATGCCTCAAAAACAAAACGTTCTGTTCGTATAGTCGAAAATAATTTCAATATGTATGCCAAATAATAAATGTAAAATATAAGTTAAAGTTTTATGTCAAAAACTTTCAATAATTTAGAAAATTTAGGTACGTAGAAATATACATATTTTAATTCGTTATTTTAACCTTTAATTATGTTACTTATTTTCCAGTACGAATATTCTACGTAATATAATTTTCCTTTAATGTTAATAAGTCGTTACTAACCTGAAATTAAGACGACAAACAGCACCGGCGGAAGCGGAAGTTGCCGGAGGAACAGGATCTTCGTATCTTCGTTGTGCCCAGTCGGTGACCCGGCCGTCAGTGGTGATGACATAATGCAGGTCACGTTCGCAAGGACACGTGGAAAGGATGGCGACGTGAGCTTCCTCTTCCGGCTAAAATTTTGGAAGCCGTATTAGTCGTAAAAAGTGTTTCTCTTTTAATCGGGCCTTACCTGGAGGGTGTGCTCGACCCCTTCAATCAGGAGATAACAATCTGAAGATGAGTTCCATTTATGGATTGGTTCTCTCGCTAGCACGTAATGGCTTTCAATTTCTTTACTGTCGACTGATACAAGCTCGGCCTGAAACACGTCGATACGCCAAATGGCTAAATATTTTTCTTTTAATAACTGGATTGGTTTGATCTATCATTCTTTCTTGCCCTTGCGACCTTAATAAAAGTACCGCAAAAATAAATGTAATTTAGAAAAACGTTTCCTTTTTATTACCGGAAAGAAATATTACATTTATATATTATATTTACTTGTAGCTATTTTTCATCGAAAAACTTTGGCGCCAATTGAAAGAACACGATTATATTAATCTCGTAGTGATATATTTTCTTAAATAACAAATATATCTAACCGTAAACATAAGAATGTTAAAACACAATTGGCGGAGGTGCCGGGAATAAGGTACTGTTAAATTATTATTATTGAAATGAGGTCAATACAATTTATGATAATTAACTTCACATAACTCCATTATAACCCAAGTTTTAGCAGTGTGTTTTAAGTTCAGTTAAAAACTTAATACCTTATAAAATTATATTGGAAGGCCAATAATAATTAATAAAGATTGAGACTGACGTCATGATCCAAAAATGTGTATGAAAATCAGCAATTATGTATATATTTATATTGTAACACTATTTGTATTTAATTCAGCATTATTGCCACTGTAGCGCTGTCAAATTTATTTTAAGGTGTACTTAAAAGTGTCCGTTTTTTCAACAAAACAATGTATTTCTGTGTTTAGATAGCGAAACTTTTTCAAATAATATATACAGTAAGTATATTTAACAATTTATCTTCGGGGTTTTAAATGATATCTACTTAAATTTGAAATAAAGTTGGGTATAATACGAGTCTCGTATTGTTTCGTTGTTATATTATGCAATCTTTCTCGCAGAGGGAAAAACGAATTCAAAAGAGTGCCCCGTCTGATAGAAACTGACGTGCAGATCCTTTAGAGGCATCTTCCAGTAAGATATCTGTGTATAACATGCTAGTAACATTGACATACATTAACTGTTTACCCAGACGAGACTAAAGTGTGATTTCGGTCAAATTATAAAATTTGAACGACTTTATAACTGTCAATAATAACTTGTAGTAAATTTTTTTCCGGTAATTTCGGAAGTTTTATGAATATTTTATCCACACTCTGTATTTGTGACATGTTATTGTTAAAATAATGATAACAAAATCTATTTCTTTATTTACGGCCCTTCGAAACACGGGGCGACGTCACATAAGTTATTTTCAATATTATAAATTTTAATTGTAAATCTAGACCATAGTAAAAACACGCAATAATTAAACGAAAGCCTAAGTTATTTATATTTAGCATACACTAAAAACATCGTCTGTAATGCACTCACAAGGAGGTGTTTATTAGAAGAAATAAAATTAGCATATATGTATCATTTCAAAATTTTATAGGTTAGTTCCATATTTATAAATGTATCATATCATGTAGTATCCAAGTTCCACATAAAAAATCTATCTGGCAAGATAAAAGTTATATTCGAATTTTTTGTTCAGAATCATTTTGAAGGTGTTTCAGATAGTTGAAAAGCTTTCACAAATTATTACTAGCTGTAAAATACTATAAACTTGTTTTAATTTAATCAAATGTATGTTTTTTGTTTTTAACAAGAACGTGGTAGTAAGAAATATTGATCACGTTGTGCATAAGACAAGAAAAATACCTGGTTTAAAAGTAACTAATAAAGATATTTTATCACCAATTTTAGCTTTTATTAAAATTGTCTCGTACATATTGCTGTTTAAAAAGCAAGTGATAACTCTATTTCACTTTGATATATCGTGAGATTTTTTTCTCTCTGAACATAGGATAATTAATGTTAAGTTGGTTGCATACCTGCTTGTAATGGATTGACTTGGACTTTTAAAAATTGAACATAAAATCTGATCGAGATTTAGGATATGTAAAAGATATTGTCATTGACATTTGACACCATTGTCTTCATGTTAAGGTATTGTAATAAGTACAAGTTTAAAGAACAGAAAATTTACGTTATTTACCTTTTTGACACAATTTCGGCAAAAATTTTACTGCAAATGTCATCGTTGACATGGCCTACTCTTCAATTATTACGAATCTTATGTTCAGTTTTTTAAAGTCCAAATCAATCCATTGGAGGATGAATATGCAACCCAACATACATGAATTATCCTATGTTCAGAGAAAAAAAAACCTCACGGTATGCGAAGTACTACCATTTGCTTTTAAATCAATGTATTTTGATTTTCAATAAGTGACGCGTCTGCAATTAGTTGATCGTCTACCAACGTCTGTCGTGTTGAATAACCGTTCCCGTGGTTTTGTTTCAATCGTTTCATTCCTATATGTTTTATCCCGAACCCATTTTGTTAAAAATTTTATTGTGTCGTTATCAGCAAAATTAAAATTCACAGTTTTATTGCTGCGAATTATTATCTTATTTCAGTTTTTCACACAGAAAAAATACAGAGCTCAGAATTATAGATCGCTCATATAAATTAAACAGAAAAAACACTGAACGTTTTTCAGTTAATGATTATGAAAATCTTTACATTTACCGTTGCATAAAAGTGTGAATTATGAGAAATGTCGAAGATGAAACTGTTAGGACGAAACGTAACTAAACCGATGAATAATTTTCATATTGGTTTTGAAGAAAATTTTAAGAGTTAAAACTTTAACCAAAAATATTAAAAGAAGATAAGACAACAATTATTACTACTAGGGATACTCTACTCCTTAACGCAGTGAGTCGTAAACAATACTAAATTGTTTGTTCCGAACTATTCAGGCTCTTCACATGAATATCAGCCACTGTGAATTCAGAGGAATAATTTACCAGAGTGGTCAGAGTATTCTTCATTACCATGTCCATGTCATACGTACTGATGACGTGTTTATGTTAATGTGTTTGGTTTGGTTAGGATAAGAAGATTTTGACCAATTTCTAGCACCCCATATATTCGTCAGAGATAATATATCTCAGTCCCCTCTTAAACAAAAATTCGCTCGAAAGACTGTTCAAATAAAAAAGTTATGTTTCAGATTATGTAATATTAGAGTATGTGTTTAGTGTTTTTTTTATGACAGGGCAACGTTATTTGTCTCCTTAATGTTCAAGAAATTGCAATCCCAGAAAGGATAAAGACCAGACGTAATTCTTTAAGAGACTAAAATTAAATAAAATTCTGATTCTTCACGAATCACCTATGTAAATTCTCATTAAGTCGCACGGCGTTCTGCTTACTGTACTGGTCGAGAACACAAATAATACAGTTTTATTGCCTATTTTCGACTTCATTAATTTAAATGCTGTTTTCACGAATGCAATAAAGTTGGTTAACAATTTGACTCTATAAATCGACGAAGTTATTCTTTGATGCAAGTCGACTGAGGCACAGTTGTGAGGACTTAATCAGCTTATGATATTAATAGAAGATTGTATCTAGAAGTGTTTTCGCCTTATCAAATTACCCTCTTTCTCTCTTCTCTCTATGGAGATTTTGGAGTTAACAAACAGTAAATGAACTACTAATATAGGAACACTGCAAGTAGAACACGCTGGTTGTTGGCTTTTCAACTGTTGTTTCTAGGAGACAAGAATGGCTTAAACGTCTGTAGTGTAAACTGCACATCTTTAGATCAGTTAGCGTTTATGTTTTACTTTTATTATTCAAAATTAATTTTATTTCGGAAGTAGCAGCATCAATCCATGCGTTAGCTTCTGGAATTTAGATGCTTGCTTCCATTGGTACTTCAGCTGCAAATGACTGCCATTTGTATATCATTTGCAAAAGTTTTCATTGTTTGAAAAAGGGAGTAGATTTTTCCTCTCCAACATTTAATTGTTGGTGAAGTTCTTCAAGCCCTTCTTTTGTTTTGAGAGTTTCTTATTTGTGAACACGGGTGGGAGGTTTATCTATACTTCTATACTTATATAATAAAGCTGAAGTGATTGTTTAATTGAACGCGCTAATCTCAGAAACTACTGGTTTGCATTCAAAAAATCTTTTTGTGTTGGATAGTCCATGTATCGTATATACATATAGGCTATGTAACATCACACAAAGATATCTTACCGTCTTAACTAAAAACATTCATGTGTTAAATTAACAATTAATTTGTATTAAATAAAGAGACCTGCTTACAGTATCTATTAGCTGTTTCCAGTCTTATTTCATTTATTGGGTGATTTCTACTTAGATTTGTTGTTGACGTCGGAACCCCAAATACATTAACTTCTAGTTGTTCTAGTCGAAGATCGTACCATAATCGTCAATTTCGACAATAAACTTGAATTATCGGTAAATCCAATAATAACATCAACCAAGAATGTTGAAATAATGCATTATCCATCTCTACTTACTTTTCACATAGATCCTTCCAAGTTTAAATTCCAGTGTATGTAAAAAATTTTTCTGGACTTTTTCCATTAACTCCAAATCAATGAGATAAATTGGAGACCATATAGTTGAGCAACGTTCAAGACGGGATCGAACAATCTAAAGTTTTTATAGCTGTCATGGATAAATCCTTAGAATGACTCCAAACTAACACCCACATGTTTAGTGCTTTGGGGACAATGTAGTAATACTATTTTTTGAATGTAACGGCCGAATCAAATAGTACCCCTATTTTCCAAATTCCAAAAAATTCCTTTTTTTTTTAACAAACAAACAATAAAAATAAAGATAATTTAAGACAAGAGTAGTTCAAAAAACATTTATCATCATCTTTTTTTTTCTAAATTTTGGTGAAATTTTGATGGAGTATTTTTAAAGATCAATTAGTTATGGGAATATAGGAATGCAGTTTTCACCACTGTTTTCAGCTTACGAAACCCTAGAAACTACAGAACAAATATTGTTTAGAAAAAACTGCTATTGCTGTGTCTTATTTCCGACGATAATCGAGGTATACTGAATCCTATATTGGCAAGTAGATTTCCACAATCAATTTCATAAGAAAGACAATATAGTTATATCTGTTCGGTAAGAAAATGAAGACATTTAATGATGCTCAAGAAGGTTTACCATATCAGCACCTCGTTCCG